ACACTCGCAGTTATCATATCACAGCCATTATCTGGACATCTCGAGTTAATCCGTATCTACCTAATTGAGCTACCAAAACCCGTTTTTAGGTCATTAATCTGAATTTAATTTAGGTCATTGGACTTCCGGCCATTTCAGGAGCGCGTTAGCTCAGCTGCAGCTAACGGTTGTAGTTATTTATTTATTTATTTATTTAACAGTAGCAGAGTTGAGAGTTTGTCAGACAACGTGTACGTTTTGTCATAAGACTGTATATACATCTCCTCCCAAATGCTTTAAGGATATTAAAGCCTAGCTTACGTTTTAGGCAACAACAACAACAACAACAACAACAACAAAATCGTTCGCCAGCACGTCCGGTTCTCTTTTTTCAAAATAAGAGGGCGAGTTAACATCCCGTTTGAATGACTCGAAGAGAATGAAGAGCAAGGGATTGCCTGGCAAGTAGTTAATTACATTTTTCTTTCACATTACAGTCTATATAAATGTACATACATGTATAAAGGCAGATGGATGATAAATTGTTATTATTATAAGGAATTATACAATGTAAGATCACTGTCAGGTGGTGCTGTTGAAAACCTAATGTGTATCTTCTAAGAAATGACCTCCTCCTCTAATTCCTAATTTAATTTACTTATTCTTAATATAGCGCTCTGTCTTTCTGCATAACTAGTTCTTTTACTCTTGATGTTTTGAGCATGTTTTAACCTTCAGTGTCTTTAGTGAGGAGCTGCAGAACAGCTCCAGTGCTCCTTGTCATATTCTGCAAGTCTGTGTTTAAGGGATGAAACTCTATTATTCCTTCATTTGGTGTTTTGATGGTGGTGATGGCGAGCAGTGTCTAACACATCCATCCAATCTATCAGCGTTCAATCGAGTTCAGATCTGGTGGCTGTGAACGCCCATAACATTTGACTCACATCATTTTAAGCCTCATAAAACCTGTCATTGACTCAATTTAAAGGCTAGTTATTACCGCTGTAATAAACATCAGCATCTCTGCTCAAGCTCGAAGCCACTCTGTGCACATTTGAGGGGGACAGAATGTTTTTCAGATTGTTCCCCTCAGTTTTATGACAAAGAGCATAAAAGCTGTGCAGTCCGCTCTGCAGACAGAGGAATGCTTTGATGGACCTCACGAATGGAAAGGGGGTTCTCCACTGAGTCCCAGTCGATCCTGCAGATGTGTTATCAGATTTCAGGCCACTCACATACTCTGAGGACATTAGTGAGGTGAAAAGTTCAAAATTGCAGCACCGGGGTCACAAGCCAATCATTTAACTCGGATGAATGAGATTGGATGAATTGTTGAATGTGAATGAGAGCGTGCAAAAGAAATTAGTTAATAACTCATTTAGGTTTTTGTCTGTAAAGTTTTAACATTGTAAAAATGAATGAATAAAGGGAAATGGGTTTGTCTATGACTGGTGACCTTGCTCTGAAGGGGAACAGAAAAACACGGAGGTGCAGTTTGAGTTGTTCCCACCAATAATTGCTTCTTTTTTTTTTTAAAATAAAATCAGTAAAAGACATCCAGTACTTTGCACCAACCAAGTATTCAAAACATTACAATTATTATAAGAACTTAATATGAGATACATACAGCAGAGATATAGATCCATATACAAATATACCCAGTGATGAAAAGTACTTTTTGATTTCATACTATTTTATTCTTCTACTACATACTCTACTATACTACTACACTACATTTTTCTCTCCACACACATATGATCAACCTATGAAACTAGATTAAATATACGCTAATATAAAAATGAGTTAAAGGCTCAACCTCGCCCAGCTGCAACATGAATGATAATAATCCAATTATATATTATATATATTATCATTTTATAAGTTAAAAGGCTCTATTCCATACAACAGATGCTTTTCCTTTAAATATTTTGCTCTTTATATGATTAAATCCTGAATGCAGGACCTTAACTTGTAATGGAGTATTTTTAAATGATGGTATTTCTACTTTTACTGAAATAAAACCTCTAAATACTTCCTTCACCACCACCATAAACGCACACAAACCAGTCCTTAAACTGGTCAGACCTTTGCTCAATGAAAAGCCAATAGCGCCATCTAGTGTTGTGGAACCCGAACTGCCTGCTTGATCCGGTCTTCGTCAGCCAACCAGGAAAGAGGGTTTGCCGTGATCTGGACTGAGGCGGATGAGACCAGAAACCTTTGTTCTGTCTCTCCTCCCAATGCGAGATTAAAAAAAAAAAAAAACCAAGAGCCTATCAATGCGTCCTTCAGACCCGCGCTCGCATTTTGTGCGTCGGAGACCGGCGAATGGATGTTTTATTAATCAGAAATTAGCGGAATTTATTTATTAGGCTCATAATCTTTTCCCCCCCTGATCGCTACAACCAGAGGAGGACACCTGGACGTTTTTTTATTTTTTTTTTTTTATTCTGTCAGCTGCTAAATGGAAATAAAACGCGGGGCTGAAAGTGGAAGCAGTCGAGGTGCGTGTACCCTGATGAATAATCCGTTTTCTATTGATCCCTGGTCTGTGTTGTGATCAGTGACATCGTGGAAATAACTGCTTATATTTTGCATAATATCCCTGCAGTGTTTCTGTCAGGACTAACTATCTCATCTCAAGTGCTGGCTCAAGTGCTGGCTTTATTCCTCCCCCCATCACTCCATCAGGTACTCATCAATGTAGTGTGATAGTTTCCTTTTTAGTATTGATCAGATCATTGTTGTAGTTTTTTTTTCTCTCTCCCTCTGTAGCTTCCCGTGTCTTCAGAAAGTCAATAGGATGCTCAGAGTTTGTTTTGAGTTTGATGGATGCTGCTGTCAGTGCACCTGAGAGCACCACTGTCATGTCATTATTCCAGCCGGCACTTTGCCACTGTAAATCAAGTTCACCATTGCATACTGTGCTCTTGGCCAGCATGCAAAGTGTTAGGTGGATGAGGTTGACTCGGATTGTTCAGATTGGCCCCTTGAAGTGCTGATAAATGTTATGTATCACAGTTTAAGCAAAGTGCCACTGAGGTGGATCATTTTTCCTTGTCTTAACAACAAAAGTCACCTGAGGGGTTATAAAAACTACAGCCAGCTACAACCCAGACAGACTGTGGAGGGAAGAATCCTTTCAGACTGACCCGACACCATAAGGGATTCTAAAGGTTAATCACAGTAGTAATAATAATCTGAGATAATTACTGTACTAAAACAGTAAACAAGACACATTTCAGAGCAGCTGTCCTATTGTTGCGGTGTAAAATCAGAGCGAAAACCTGAAAACTCTTTATTGCACGTTAGTGAAGCTAAGTTATGTGAGAAAAAAATTATATTTTGTTGATTTGTTTTAGTTTTTGACGTTGAAATATGTCCCTTTTTGAAAGTAGGAGTGCACAGTCCAGATAAAATCCTCAATACAGTGTACAGTATGTAATTTTACTTTTATTATATGTTGTGTTATTGTACATTTCTGATAAATCAATTGAGAAAATAGCTGACAAAACATTTCTCACCACAAGGTCCATTTAGTAGCTTTTCTTATCACACACATCCTCAGCAGAGCGAGTTTTATGTATAAAATTGTTAAAATAACCACAGATGTCTGTTTACCTGTTTCATCACACGGATGCAAAATGTATATTAAAATCCAACAGTACCAATTTTCCTTAAATTGGTCCTGCTCAGTGATTCGCAAAATTGCCTCCAAGGGTCGAATACAACCAGAGATATTAAAGGAATAGCTATAAATGGTACTGCAAAATCAATAGATGACAAATACATTTATATAATCTCTTGGGGGAAAGACTTGCCTCATAAAACTGTAATGCAACCAACAGAGATTTGTGCAGGTGTTTTCATGTAACCCGGAGACTGGGGTTACCTGTCTTGCATTGCTTACACCTGCTCTTACTTTTTTTTATCAGGTTATTTGTCATTTCAAACATTCGCTGTTGCCCATTGATGCACAGCGATTCTCTCAAGGAAAACAGGCCGGATTTTAATGAAACGTTAACTCATGTTTGGTAATCCTTTCTCTGTCTGCAGGTAATGATCTTCCAGTCCACTATCTACGCCTCCTGGCCCCGCCCTTGCAGCTTTTATCAGCTGCAGTGTGGCAAGTAGTGCAGCAGGGACTTGTGGACCACTATGGGATGCTGGAGGAGTTTGTTACCATGGTGACAGAGCTGGTCCCAGAGCTGATGAGCTACAGTCAGAGGGCTCAGCTCATCCTGGGACTGAGGGCCAGGGTCAGTAATAACCACTGTTTGAGGGGACGCTTGTGCTTATATAATTTTATCTTGAGCGTATTTATCTCCCGGAAAAAGTTAAAGAATTTTAAATGAATAAACCGTCTGAAGTAGCCATTATAACCATTATAAATTCAGTGTCACAGATACAGATAGTTTAGACAACCTCAGTGCTATTATTGGTTTGTGAGTGTTCTCTCTCACTTTTATCTGTATTTATTCCATTTCTCTCCCTACAAATCGTGTGGGCAGAGCAGCAAGTAACACAAAACACACAGCAAAGATAAAACAAAGTTCCTCAGGAGCTGTAGTAGTACTTTTACACCGGTGGGACTGTTTCAATGTGATGCATCTGATTTGTTTGTGTGTGTTTATACATTCAGCTTGTTCTGGAGATGTGTCGAGGTGAGAACCCAGTGGACATGCAGACCATTCAACCACATCTGGACAGAATTAAAGCTCCTGTCAGTACTGCCAAGGATCACCATGTAAGTAAGCTGTTGCTGGCACAGACAGACACACACATACACATAAAATAAAAATCATTGTTTAACGTCAAGAATACACTGTTGTTTTCTTTCTCTTATCTCCAATAAGCATTTTTGTGCTCACATTGTGTGTGTGTGTGTGTGTGTGTGTGTGTGTGTGTGTGTAACAGGTAACCATTAACCAGGTGGAGGAATCGGAGGTGAACTTTGTGGAGTTGGTGCATTCTTTACTGGAGGATGACTCTGAAAGAAAATACTTTTTCCAGGTAAGCCAGCACACACTTCCTTATTGCGTTGTTTTACTTTCCTTTTAGAAGAGCTTTTTCATAATAAGTCAATGACAACGACGACAATATCCACAACGAGGGAATAAATAATAATAATAGTTATTCAAAATGATTGACCCTTGGGGATCAAGCAGCGACCATGTCAGAAGCCACAACCAGGATCTAGTCTAGGCTATTAGCCACGCATAAGCAAAGGAATGGTTCAGACGTCACCTTGAGCCCAGCCTAACCGAAACATCAAAGAGGAACGGTCTTAAAGCTAAACTTAAATGTGGAGAGGTGTCCTGCCTTGCGCCTACGCAAAACTGGAAGCGGTTCCACGAGGAGAGGAAGCTTGGGTAGGCTGAAGGCTCTGGTCCTGTCGTCTATGGAGAGCATGGGAAGGCACAAGTAGCCCTGCATTCGTAGAGCGCAGTGTTCTAGAGGGGTAATAGGGTAGCTATGAGCGTCTTAAGATATGAATGGTGCCTGACATGAAGAGCTTGTGTAAGTTGAGGAGGAGGATTTTAAATTCTACAGAATTTTACAGGGAGCCAGTGCAGAGAAGCCAATACAGGAGCAATATGATTTCTAGAGAACGAATTTCCCTGAGGGGGGTTAGTTTAGGACACCTTCAGTTAAGCATAATTCCCGAAAAAAACTCTAGCTGCTGAAGTGTAGTGTCGTCCCAGCCGCTCCACTCATGGTTGGTCTCCTGTGGGCTTATTGCCTGCCAAGATCCCAGGCCACACCCATTCCCCTTCCCATGGAAATTACAAATCTAGCCTACCAAGGTCCCAAGCCACAACCATTCCCCAGGCCATTCCCACATGGCCTGGGGATGGTGGTTGCGGAGTAACTCGAGGCCCGGCTGTGAGACACAGGCTTTGAACCATCAGTAAAACCGAGGGCCTCCAGACTGTCGGCGAGGAGTCCGGAAGACTGAGGGAAAATGATAAACTAAATAAATGATGATGAATGATAAATATTACAACAAAAATGAAGCAGAAACAAAAATCCTCAGGCAGTTGCTCAGTTTCAGTTTTTGAACCGTTTGTGCTGAATTTGAGACACTACAAGGCAGTGAGGATAATTCTGTTTGTTTTCTAACAACAACCTATCCTTAATGTATTTTAATCTGTCTTTCTCTCATTTGCAGGAAATCTTCCCTGTATATTTTGGCCCAAAGTATGAAGCAGCTCTCGAGATGCTGGTGTGGGAGTTCATATCAAGACTGGAGGAGCTGCTGCCAGTTCCAGACTTCACACAGGTCCCATGTTTCTTTGAACTCTAGTTTCACCTACTGCCAACGTGCATGGAGAATTAGAAAAAGTCAGAATAGATTAAAACTCCAGCCAACACTTGTATTATAAATTACAACTTTATTGTCAGACTAAGCCCCAGACCTTGATGAAGGCCACCAGCCAAAACCCATTAGTCTGACAATAAATAAAGCGATTGGTCTTTATACTACAACTCTAGCTTGATACTCATTATTGTGATGGAAAAACGGAAGGAGATGAACCACCAGAGTTCAGGAGAGCTTGATGACTTACACAGCAGAATTTATTGAAGCTCGTCCAAGGAGAACAAGATCAGATCAACACAGTGCAGTTGCCAACCCACTTCTGAAGGTTACCTCCTGTTGGGGGATATTTAACGAAAACCTAGACCCACCAGATCTACTAGTGTCCCAAATATGTTTGAAGATCCAATTGGGAAGTGGATAAAAACAAACTCTAAGCCAACTTACTCTATCCTAAGTCACTTTTAATGCATAAAAGAGACAGTCAGTGTTAACCTTGGTCTTTCATAACAAAGTAGAACTACAATACGTCGGGTGCTCAGTGTTCAACCTTATCAGCTCCTCTGCATAGTCTGGTCAGCCAAACGGTCAGAGAGGAGGACACAGAAGAGGCACAAGCTGTGACCTGTGACCTCCTTTAGGTTTGTAAACAATTCACAGTGACAAGAGGAGCACTGTACCATTTCAGTCTAATTCCTTCACAATTATCAGCTAATTACATAATAATAATATACTTCCTTTTTAATAATTTGTGTTGCACTTTTCTTAAACCACTGCTGGCATTCGGGCTGCCTATAATAAACCTATGAACCTTCCATAGCTCAATATGCTACTGTATTTTAATGTCGGTCATAATGGTGGTACTTCGAGACCCTATAAGCTATCCTTAGTGCTACTGCTACCTGGGGAAGTTATCAGGCCCCGTGGGAGGTCTGCACTACTTGTTTTGTCTCTGTCTTCTGTCTCTCCATCAGAAGAAGCCAAATGCAACACAGACGAGTGCATTACCAGGAAATAGCTTTGGCATTCTTCCAAATTGAACTGTATTTCCGGCTGACTGTGGCACATAGGCTCTGTGCAGGGGCTCATCTGTCTGCACCACTGACCCAGAGACAGATGTAGAGCAGGGTTAACTGGGCGCAGGTGCAACACAGTGTCCCAGCGGAGCGCTTCCTCGTGCCTCCCTGTTCTGTACCAAACAGCAGCAAGAATAGCAAAATAACAAAGTCAGATAATCGCATGCTATCAAATAAAAAGACGCTCCTGAGGCCAGATGTATGTATTTCCTTACACAGCTATAGTTTCACACTCATTACCCCCCACATATTTATCAAATTAACTTATTTTTCATTTGAACTCACTCTGGGTCATTCACTAAAGCCAGCAACTGGATCTCTCTTCTCAGTTGGCAGCTTTGCTCGGAGACGCTCCGTCATTCCTAGACGACTGTTTACAATCCGTTTTCCCGCCAGACGACATGAAGGCTGTACTTGAACACCACAGAAACCTCGGCCATTTTGAAGAGAAAGGTTGTATACTGTAATTGTATACTGTAACCAGTCCATGACTGTAACACTGTGACTGTAAGTCAACAAAATGAACAGTCAGCAGTGAAACAGATAGATATATAATTGCAGTTTAGAAGACCAACCTGTAACAAGTCTGTTTGTGATCCTCACTGAAAAAATGTTCAGGATTTAGCATTTTTGTATTGTTTATAATACTTAATTTCCCTTTTTTCCTAAATTATGAGTTCCTAAGCAATGATTATTTGTAGGTTATTTCATCACACAGCAGATAAACCTAATACAGCATTGCTTATAAAAGGTTTTGAAGAGAAGGCGAGAAGTTTGAGAGTTTTTGCTGGCTTTTAACTAAACTGGGGTCTAATTAATCATCTTTTTTCTCATCTGTAGATCCTAGATTATTACCCATGGATGACTGCATCCTCTCCTCCCTGTCTCTGCCTCCTGGGACCAAACCTGTCACAAACGCCACCTCACCTGCTCTCAAAGATTCAAACCCTCCAGAGCACAAAGGAGCCTTCAACACAAGCAGCCTGGAGAGGGCCGGCAGGAGGAGCTCTGAGACAGCGAGACGGAAGGAGACGAGGGACTCGGGCAGTTGGCAGCTGCAAGTTAGAGGTGGGAACATTTCTCAGGAGAGGAATGCGCAAAACTCAATTAGTACACAACCATGTGATGAAACCATAGACCTCACTATGTCTAATGAGACTGCGGACACAGATTCAGCAGCCGATGACAACAGCCAAAGCTTGAGAGGAGGGCGGGTTCTCAGGAAGAGGAAGTTGAGCGGAGGTGTGGACATTCCTCCAAAACAGCCTGCTGAGGCGACAGCTTTCTTGTAAGATTACTAAAAATGTTTTGTTTATTTGTTAATGGAAATACATCTATTAGTTTCGATGATATTTTACTGAAACGCTCCAGAGTAAATACACAGGATCGCCAAAGTCAGCAGGCTTCGTCCCCTGGGGATCAATAATATCTGTATCAAATTTCATGGCAAATCAAAGAACAGTTGGTGAGATAATTCAGTCTAGATCAGAGGGGTGGACAGACTGACAGTGTTATGAATAAAACTGCCCACTGAACCAACTGGAAACCCACATTTCACATAGTCTGATGGACATTTTTTTGTTCCCAGACAATTAAACCTAATGACTTTGGTGATCCCCTGACCTTTCCTCTACCACTGCCATGAGGCTGACATTTGTGGTTTTGAGTGAAATGTCTCAATGGCTGTTGGATGGATCGCTATTGAATTTATACCCACATTCAGGTCTCCCTTAGGATAAATTCTAATAACTTTGGTGATCTCTCAGCTTTACATTTAGCCCCATCATCAGGTCAAATTGTCCCTGCAGCTTCACGTCAGGACTGTGTTTAACATCTATATGTTAGCATTGGCTTTGAAAACATGTTGTTATTAGCATTAAGCTTAAAGCATGCTGTTGAGTCCTATTTTGTACAGTTCATGTGTGTTACTCCATGTACCTCTTGTCATTTGATCTTTTGAAAACACTTAATGTGTTACCATAGCTTTAAATCTGTTCAATTGTTTCAATCTTTTTTTATTATACATGTGTGCTTTGTGGCTCAGATCCAAACAAATGTTTTGGGGATCACAAAATGAGTAAAATCACTTTGATCAAATTAGAAAAAGGTGTCAATTTTATCCATGTGTTTTTCCACGTGTGCAGGGATTCGTCAATGGAGGAAGAGAATTCAGGTGAATCTCCTCTAATCTCGATATGGGGAGAATATACAGGTTTGTACTGTTTATGTATGGGTTAGTGCATGTACTTGGGTACATCAGTCTAAGCGTATTCCTTTAACTAACTTCTCATTTCTTTTTAGACCCTCAGGAAGGTTCTTTTCCAGTTGTAACAGACACAAAGGTTCCTTGGTCGGACGACGAGACGCTCAATCTGCTCGACATCTGGGGGAAGGACTCGGTGCAGCGGGCTTTGAAGGGCTGCTTGAAGAACCGTCACATATTCACACAGATCGCACAGAAGATGGCAGAGAGAGGCTACATGAGAACCGTGGAACAGTGCCAGACCAGGGTCAAACGACTGAAGAAATGCTTTCGCCAGAACAACAAGTGGGTATTAAATGAGCTACTGTCTGTCCTTTATGTTTGTCTTTCTGTCCAGTCATTGCAGATAACTACAATTTCCCCCAGACCTTAAAGGTCATAGCTGTAAATTGTGGAAACAAGAGTGGAAAAAAAGCAATTGAAGCAAATTTCCTGTTTCCTTTTCCCTGCTCTAACACCAGAGGGAACTCCAGGCTGGAGTATAAATTTTATGAGCAGCTGAAGCGGGTACTCGGCTCCTCAGCTCCCTCCACTGTTCCTGAGGTCACCTATGACGTAGAAGAGGTCATCGATGAAGACGAGTCCCAAGACGGCGACGAGGACTGGCAGTTTCTCGGCCATACGAGCCGACTGGAAATCGGTACAGTGTCACATTTATGTACTTCAATTAAACCACTGCTGCAACAGGGGTGTTAGACGTTTGATAACTTAACTTGGCGTAGTTGATACACACATTTTATTTTAATATAGGTTGAACGCTGTTATATTTTAACACAGCCCGAGGTCATGTATTCATGATTACTTGTTTTTATTTGACTGACAGTTAAAACCCTGAATATAATCAGTTTACTATCATATATGTCTAAGAAAATCATCAAATCATCACATTAACAACACAGTAACAAAACAATGCAGCAGTGTAATATCTCTACATCTTCTTTCTACATCTTTAGTACATTATCAGTATATAAAGCACAAAAACAAACAGACATTAACCAAACAATGTGATTCATATCTTTATTTAAGGAACTAGAAGCGTTCCGTGGACCGACTTGGAGACGCTGGCCCTTATCAACACGTGGGGTGAAGACAAGATGCAGCAGGAACTGAGAGGATTCCACAGAACCGGACACATGTTCTCCATCATATCCAACAAGATGGCCGCCCAGGGCTTCTCCCGAACACCAGAGCAGTGCCAAACAAGACTGAAAAGGCTGAAATCAAGTTTCAGGCAATGCTACCAAAACAAGTACGTATGCTTAGAGCAGAAAGAGTAAAAGTAAAAGTAAAAGTGCAGGAACTGGTTGATTTACAGTATTTGTCTGCTCTCTTCTTATTCCTCGATGTAGCATGAAGGGACAGGAACAAGTTGTGTGCAAGTTTTACAATGAACTGGGAAGAATTTTAGTGAAGGACTTCCCTATAGTGCCGCAAGTGGATGAAACGCCAGGAGAGCCCGAAGATGACTTCACCTCCTTCTCCCATCAGGATATCGGTAAACTAAAATTTTCTCTAACAGTTGGAGGCGTGTGAAGTGTTTTTAATCACACTACAAAGCCCTGACACCTAATAATTATACACACTGACTGATCACTGTGTGCTTCTGACAACTGGTGACAAATTTAATCAGTGGTATGAAATGTGTAGAAATACATAGAAACCTATAATGGTTTTCTGACACAGTCCCAAATTAATTAGAATACTTTTAGACAGTGACAGTGGGTTTTTTATGCCTTTGGACCTGTACTTTGAGCTTTTACCCTCAGGGAGGCACTATAGCAGTTAAAAAAGTTCTGTCAAATGTAGTTGAATCTATAGTCTCCTTGTCCCTCTTTCTCTTACCAAAGACTGCTTTATCTACACCTGTCAGGTCACAGACCATTAATTTTAATTATGATAAGTCGAGGACTGGTACCATTTGAACTTACCAGGTTCAATGTAACCTTAGTTGCATGGTGTACAATTCATCTTCAATTCATCTTTCTCATTCAAAAACCTTGTCCAAAACCAATATCCTGGCATATTCGGAACAAAACTAGTCATGTAATGGCAAAATCGACAGTTAAGTTATCAAATAAAGTGTTTTCTTTTCTATTTGTGTCTCTTCAGAGTCTGCTGTGGGCGTTCAGGAAGACAGGAAGAAAGTCCCCTGGTCGGACAAAGAGACCATCATCCTTCTGGAGATCTGGGGAGACCCACAGGTAGAGGAAATTATACATTTTAACTATGACTAAAGTTATGCCTTTAGCTTTAGAGTTATGCCTTTAGCTCTCCTTATCAGGCTGAACTGCAGTCTCACTTCACTTAATCAGTTTCTTAATTATTTGAATTGCTGAAAATATATCCAAGATACAGCCAGCAATTGAGAGGTCTTAAACTGTTACTCTTAATGATGCATGTTGTTTAGACGAGTTAAAGCTTTGATGATGTTCAAAAACACTATTAAACTTTGGAGTGTACCCAGCAACAGACAACCATTAAATCATCTACACAGTGATAGATTTCTAGCCACCTTTACTTAGAATTTCACCCATATTTAGGTCCAGGAGTGCATGAGACGCTACCCACACAACGGTCACATTTTTACCGAAATATCAGAGAGACTTGGCGCCAACGGCTACTCCCGCAGCGCCGAGCAGTGCCACACCAGGATCAAACGGCTGAAAGCCAACTATCGGCAGTGTCAGGAAAACATGAGGTAAAAACTGTACATGAATATTCATTTTACATGTCGTACTGTTGGCAAGAAAATGTGTGTTAATATAATCACCTTTACTGTCTGTAGCTCATCTGGGACCGACAGAGTCGACTTTAAATTCTATGATCTGCTGGAACAAATCCTGGACAAGCAGCCGTCAACATCTTCCATCCTTGTGACAGACTCCATCGAAATATCCGAAGACTCAAATGGTGAATCAGTGACTGAAATAGGTAAATAATCCTCAATAATCACTATATGTTTATGCTGAGGAATTTCCTACATCATTGGAAATGTAATAGTATAGACCACTGGTTCTCAAACTATGGTACCACTACAGGCAGTGGTACTTTAGCTACTTCTAGTGGTATGTGGAAGAATTTCTGATATATATATATATATATATATCAAAATGTTTAACTTAAAATAAGTTTTGTATTTTCTGTAATATTTTGTTTTAACATAAGCCTGCTACTTAGTCACAGATATAAAATGAATGGTTCAAAAACACTCGCAATGTGCAATCGTGTCTCAAAACTGGAACTATTGGGAAAGGAAGTGTGGACCAGGAGAACCTCTTTTCCACCAAATTTGCACTGGATCTTGAACCACTTAGGTTAAATGATCCTCTTATTAGTAATTAACAAGTGCTGTGTTTCTACCGTAAGATGGAGAAATCAGCATGTCAACAGAAAAACCAGCACCTAGCTTGTGGTCAGATGAGGAGACCCTGGCGCTTATCGAGATCTGGGGCGACGAAGACGTTCAGAGGGCGCTTAGGGGTTCCGTCCACAACGGACACGTTTACGCCGACATTTCAGAGAGAATTCAAGACCTCGGCTACTCGAAAACCTCGGAGCAGTGCCGCTGGAAAGTGAAGTCACTGAGGAACAACTTTCGACAGTGCTACGATAAGAAGAAGTGAGATCCATTTTTCTCATCAGTTTGACTTTTTATCTGTTTGCAAATACAATCCATGATGGTAACGGTTCATATTTATGTGTCTCCAGGTGTGGAAGAAGAGTAGATTATAGATTCTACAAGCCGCTGGAACAAATACTTGGACAGGAGGCGGTTTCTATTGATGAGTATGATGAAAGAGACGAGCAGCCGGACCAGGATCCAGGTAAATTTTGATCCATTCACATAACTAGTTAGAAGATATCTGCATTAGATGAATGTTCACTCAATCTTTCCCACTGCTCCATCCACCTGAAGTAGGTCCAGATGGTGTGAACACAGCGTGGACAGAACAGGAGACGGTTACTCTCGTCGAGGTGTGGGCCGCAGACGACGTGCAGCACAGCCTGAAAACCTGCGTCCGCAACGGGCACATATTCGCAGACATATCTGAGAAAATGACCGCCATGGGATACCCGAAGACGGCGGAGCAGTGCCACTCCCGGATCAAAAGGTTGAAGAAGACTTACAGGCGCTACTGCAACACCCAGAGGTAAATAAAATGGATGAGTGACGTTGTTATTTTAAATATTAGTAAAAAAAAATGTCCTTCAAATCCTGCCTTTGATTCACGTTTTCCAGGAACGGAGGGCGGCCTGCTGCGTTTAGATACTTCCACCTCCTGGCTCCGGTGCTCGGTGATAACTCTTTGTACGTTGATGTGGACAGTACCGCTGCTGACGCCAACGAGCAACCCCTAATGGACAAGGACCCTGACATGTGTAGGCTTAAATATTAAATCAATGTGCAATTTGTGTCATGGCACCTTTGACAATTGTACTCAGTGTTATTGTGCAGGTATCTATGTACATTATAATAATACATCTGTTGTCCCTCCACTTAGACGAGCAGCCCTCAGCCAGCCACCCCCAGGCCGACCTCAGCAGAAAGATGCCCTGGTCGGACCAGGAGACTCGCACCCTGCTGGAGATCTGGGGCGAAGACTCTGTCCAGCTCACCCTGAGGGGCTGCCTGAAGAACCGCCACGTGTTTAAGTACATCTCTGAGAAGATGAGTGACCAAGGATTCATCAGGACCTCAGAGCAGTGCTACTCCCGCATTAAGCGCCTTAAACATGGCTTCCTCCATGAAAAGTCAGTTATTACAAAACTATGTGACATTTATGATTTGTGTTGTTGGTAATGTTTCATAGCCAGCATCATGAGGGCTTTTTGGTTGGTTGGATGTCAAACAAACTCGAGATAATATTTTGCAAATCATGTCTGCTCTTTATTGGGCAGTATTCAGTTAATACAATGTTAATCTTTTATAACTGTGAGGAGTGATGTCAAGATCTGAGGATTTAAAGCCTTCAATGTAATTGAGAATCTAGTAAAGTTAGAATAATTGATGAATATCTGCCAGCTTTTCCTTTGTACCCTCAGTAGTTTTATGTCAACTATGAAACAAACTCTATAATGGGTACTTGCTTTGATAAATTAGCAGTTTTTAAAAGATTTTTATTTCATTTTGACATGGCCATGAGTGAATGGCCCACATATTGTGTGAATTACACAATTTTTTGTTGGTAAAATTACTCTCTGTGTTGTTTAATTGTCATGGAAAACATTTAGGATTTAAATGGGATTAGTGTTGCCAGCTACACACTTAAATGTGTAAATCTGTCTGGTTGTCAATTGTTGTTTTTTTTTCCTTTAAATTCAGGGAGGAATTCAAATTTTTCAGCGAGATGGATGAAATCTTCAGGAGGGAGCTGAAAGTGGACGTCACAGTCGCAGACACGTCGGTCACAGATGAGCCGGAGGACTACACGCTAGGGCCTGCTCAAAAGAAAGGTGAAACTCAAGAGAAAATGTACATCTATGTTGTGATTCCTTTTCAAAATGTGAAGTGACACCGATGGATGCCAAGAATTCACAACCCACAACATCTCTTTCTAATAATATCTAGTCGTATTTAGTCTCTACACATAATAATGTAATTATAAATTTTTCTACCAATCAGATCTATACACACGTGTACAATTGCCTCTATAGCTTTTCCCGTTATTGTAATTGTGCTTTATACGTCCACTCCGTTAACTGCCGCAGGTACCCAGTGGATGGCTGACAGCACCAAGCTGCCCTGGAGCGACGGGGAGACCGAGGCCCTCCTGGACATATGGGGGAGCGAGGAGATCCAGGAGACCTTGAAGGGCTGCACCAAGAACAAACACATCTTCATCCAGATCTCTGAGGTCATGGCTAGCCAGGGCTACCTGCGCACTCCTGAACAGTGTCAGACCAGGATAAAGAGGCTGAGGGCCAATTTCCGACACTTCCTCGAAGGCAGAAAGCAAGTACCATTGTTGTTCACTAATGTGGTTAGGTCATGCTGTATGTCTTAACATCTACATTCTAAATACAGTTTTATTTTTTAAGAATGTTTTAAACTTCACAACATTTGTTGTTGTACACATTTATTGTGGCAAAAAAAGGTTTTTTGCTTACTCCGAAATTTCCTGTTTCCAGAGGAGAGAAACAGGAATGCAAGTTCTTTGACCAGCTGGTGCAGATATTTGGCAGCAAGTATGTAATAAACTCTGACCCTCTGGTCGACGATACAGCCGATGGCGTAGGTAAGGAGTCATATTGCCTCACTGTTGTCCATCATGTTAGCTTTATGCAGTGGCTTTATCAGCTGGATAATGCTTGTAGTGACCAGCAAGCTAGGACTTCACTTAATCTTGCTGAGAGGTGGATTTTGATACCTTCAGACGGAGCCAGGCTAGCTGTTTTTCCTCTGTTTCAAGTTTTTTATGCTAAGCTAAGCTAACTTGCTTCTGGCTCTAGCTAAATTGTTAGCATACAAGCTTTAAAGAGGTATTCATCTTATCGTCTAAAGCAAATAAGCATATTTCTTAAAATGCCAAAACGATTGTCTCCATGACTTACTGTAAGTGTCTTAACTGTAATGTCATGTAGAGATAAATAATCCAAAGAGTAAATGTCTTGGGCTGCAACCAATGATTATTGCCATTATTCATTTATCGACGATGGTTATTTGGTCCATAAAATGTCAGAAAATAGTCAGTTTACTGTCATATTGGACTAAATAAACCAGAAAATATTCACATTGGCGAAGCTGAAATCACATTATTTGGATATTTTTGTTCTTTAAAAATGGTTCAAAACCATGAATCAATTATAATAATAGTTGGCAGTTAGGTTAATATTTGACAAATGGTTGATTTATCTTTGCAGATCCATAAATATCACTAACTCAGGCAATGTAAATTCCTATTTTTAAAGTGTTACAGTGGTTTGTAAGCTATATTCATTATTTAACATCTAAAATGAACTTTTTCTGATACAGAGACCTGAAACTGTCCATCATCCACAGAGTGAACAAGAGGTTACAGCAACTGCAAACCAAGACCAGACCAAGGAACATCCAGAAGAGAAAAAACAAGGGCATTCATACACGGAAGGTCTGTCCAGGCTCACTCAGATCTATGTTTGCCTCTGTATATACTTCAAATACTTTTACATTCTTCATACACACAGACCAGGCTGTGTGTGTGGTGTGTGTGTGT